CCGCTTTCCAGATTTTCTTTGTTTTCTTGCATCTCCATTTTCTCCTCCGTCTCCCTTTTTCGACACGTTTTTATCTTCTTTTGTCATATCTCAATTTGCGTCAAAGTGGTTTTCCCTCTTTCAGCCCGCGCTCACCAGCCACTTCATTAGGTACACCGGCGCAGTCTCATCAAATCCATTCCAAGAGCCGCTTCAGAAATCCTGCCCTGAATAGGTGTCTGTATTATTGATTGAAGAATCCTCTTTGGATGATGCAGATGGTTCCTTGGCATTACGGGGGCACACGCACAACGATAAACAACCGTGATATGGATATGTTATTAATACACTTTATTGCCGGGGACCTCATTCACATTTTGCATTTATACCGAATAAAATGTAGAAATGTGAGTTTCATGTCCTTGGTTTTGGTTTGTGTGTGTGTGTGTGTGTGTGTCTGTGTGTCCTCGTAGCATTGTTGCAACTGGGTCTCAAGTCCAGAGCCTTTGGACACACCGCTGGACTCCATGCTCCCAGACTGCCCACGCGTCTCTGCAGGTACCAAATCGAAATCACTCACACAGTACAATATTGAGGATTTTGTCGGTAGATCAGGTCCAGCTTGGCTGTTTGCACTCCAACTATTGTGCGATCAAACTATTACAAGATCGACTGAGATGGATCTTTCCCCGAGAAACTGAAAATTGTGTCAGATTATTTCCGAAAGCAAATCCACAGTGTCCTTTCACATACGCAGCCCCGTTCCGTTGGATTTTGTTTCTATTTCTATCATCTCGGGCCGCACCCTCTTTTCCTCTTTCTTTTTGATCATCCGCTCTCTGGGCAACAACGCTTAATCCGCCCCTGTGGTGTTTGGCTTCCTGTCCCCGTGCCCTCTCTGCGGCAGACTGGTCTTGATGATGTCACAGCCATCAGGAGAATGTATCCTTAATGTAGGATTAGCGATGAAAGCCGTAATCCTCAACATGACCATTGATCAGAGATGATGATTGCAATGTGTTGGAGGACGACTGACATATATCCTCGAATTCATGCGAAAAGAGCGCGCCGCTCAAAAGGACATTCAAGCTTCATGGAGTGAGGAAACCGTTCCAACTTTTCAGGGTTGTTTTCAGCCTCGCGTGGATGTGAAAGTCGACACACCCCTAATTCAAATGGCAGGTTTTTGAGAAATGATCAAATGAGACCAAGGTGAAGCATACTAAAACATTTTCCATCGTAACTGTGACTGATAATCTGTACAACTCATTGAACCGCAACACATTTTCTCCCATGTGTTGGAGTGCTGTCAAGTGTTTTTTTTTTTTTTTTTTTTTTTCGTGGAACCCAGGTTGAACTTTTTGGGTCATAAATCCAAACCATATGTTTGTCTCAAACACGACAATGATGGTGGCATCATCATGCTTTTTTTGGGGCTTCAAATGGAACTAAGAGGCCAGTTACAAACGGCTACCAATGTAGCAAGTGTGCGTGTTTACAAAAGGTTTCATTGTGATTGGTTGATTCTAAACACAGCCACATTGCCAGTTATCAGAGGGTGCGCACACTTTTTCAACCTCTATCTCAGGTTTTGTTTTTTTTTCTGTCAGTTGACTGTACATTTTACATGTTACAATTCGGGTGGACAAGTTTGAAATTATTTATCATGGTCCGATATAGTTTTTTATTGACGAAAAAAACTGGCATTTGAGGAGAAGTTTGTGTACTTGGTACATTCACTGTACGTATCTCTTGTATGAAATGCTCGTGGAAATGTATAGGTCGTTTTTCACATGCTCCACATGTCACTGGATTCCTCTCGAATGCCGCTATCTCATCTCGACCACTAAAGCGCCATGTTCCGCGTGCTGCTGTGTGGGCGGTACGTCTCGACATCTAACAGTGAATCAGCCACTTCAAATGTCAGCTAGCCTCCGATAGAAAAGCCATACTGTATTTCATGTTCAAATGTCACTTTAGCCGTGGCGTTTAATGCATCTTTAAAAAAAAAAAAAAAAAAAAGCAGCAGTTTTGAGTCCAGATATCCCGGTCCCTACGTTTTCCACACATGCCGTGACTGGTAGTATATGGTTGGGAGCACCAAACCATTTGACACCACGTCCATCTGTATGTGTACGCTATTGACTTGCGATCTATTGACTTTAACCGAGCTGAAAAGATTCCAGGCCTGTTAACAAAGCTGCCAACTCAGCTTGTCTCTGGTCTTTTGGAAGCAGCTTCAGATGTCAAAGGTTGATTCGGTCGTCTTTGTGTCCTTGGCAGCCCGGCAGGTTCGCAGGCGGCGGCAATTGTAGCGAAAGTCGCGGCAGAGCAGCAGAGGTGACGAGGTTGAGGGAAGGCTGTCAGGGCACCGTGGCCCTGCACTTCAATCAACAAACATGCAGTCACCTCGTCTGCTGCCGTGAATTGTCCAGTTGGGGTTGCTATGCAAATAGTATGCGGCATGTTTGTGTCTAGGTGGGGGTTGTCCGTGTTCAGGCGATGGAGTTTCTTAGCTACAGAAAACAGCTGCTTTTTGTTCTTTCAATCTCACTTGGCACACACACACACACACACACACACACACACACACACACACACACACATCCACCTGTTCCCAGTAGCAGTCTGTTGGAGATCCTTAAAAAATAAATAAATAAAAAAAGTTCTATCCGCTCGAAAAATGTACTTCTTTAAGTTCAACATCACACATTAAATGACACCAGAAACACCGCTTTTTCATAAAGCAAAAAGTAGAATAAAAATAATCCTCTCCAACAGTTAACCCTATTTGAAATAATGGCAAACAAAATGTTCAAGTGAATGTTAGTCAGCAGCATTTTGTATTTTATTTTACTGTGTGTGTGTGGGGGGGGGGGGGGTGTCAGGGCGGGGAATATAAATTTTGGGGCTATGTACTTTTCATTGGGCAGTATTGAGTAAACTCATGCAAAAAAAGCACTGCAGTGTATTTCCTCATAAACCCCCCAAAAATGATTTGAATTGGATTTTTTATTTGTCATTTAAAAAAATATTGATCCTTTGTCTTGTGGAGTGTGCGTTGATACCTCCCAACACAAAAATTGTTGATATTTTTCCATTTTACTAATTTTCTACTCGACATTTTTTAGATGGTGTCATGAATGAATATTTCACAGCTTTAATATTTTTCATACGGTCACCGACAATTATGTTATTTTCAGTTTGTGTGTATCGTCAAACAAGTAGAGATCTCTTATCACGAGACGCTGATGCATCCAGAAAGTAGTCCGGTTCAGTCGTAATACATTGCTAAACTTTTTTACTTATTTTTTTTTTTTTGGACTACAACTGGATGTCTGCAACGACTCCAGCAGTAGCCTCGCTCTGACAGCCTTCAAGAGAAACAGGTTGAAAGGCACGTCTTTGCTCCTTCTGCCTCTGCATCCGTTCCTCTCTTCCTCACTCGCTTCTCGCGCCATCCATCTCCCCTCCTCCACATCCATCCCGCCTCCGTGTGTGCTGCACTGATGATATGATGACTGTGTTCTCCATGCTCCAAGACTTTGAGCCCAAGGGGAGGGAGGGTATGTGGAGAAAGTGTGTCGCTCGTCATCGGTGAAGCAGTGTTGCTCCACTGACACGCCACTCGGACGGTGCTTCGAATTTCCTGGAGAGGGATGGCAGAGCATTTCCAACTGCAGTGTCCGTTTCTAATGTAAATCCATTCAAACCTGGACCTGACTTCCTCCCACTTAAATGAAAGGATTTATTCTCACTTCATTATCATGTTTTGTTTTTTTTTCTGAATGGCAAGACAATTTGTTCCCCATTAAGCTGTCGAGACCAAACCTCAACCTAAATGTTTGCATATTTGCTTTATGCAAATTAAGTGGAATCACTACTCGTGCTGCTAAGCTGACATTAAAATCAGTTGGAAAATGGGATGGAGGGAGGTAAGCTCTTCCAAAAGTGTCACTTTGAGACAGGAAAGAGACTCGGGCAGAGGGATAGATGATTGAATAGAGAGGGAAGCGCTCCAACTCACCATTTTGAGCTCTGCTGTTACCAATGCTCACTTTATAGACCCGCTTCTTCTGGTCAAGACCAGGCTTCGGTCTGTTAAAAAAAAAAATTTTATATATATATACTCATACACGCTCTTCCTGTCGGGTGATTACTCATTGTCCAAGCCGATTATTAATTACAACGGCTTCGCTCTCTGTAGGTAAACATTGATTAATGGCTAACAAAAGCAAGTTAATATATTACCTGTTCTTTAATTACCAAATGTGTGCCGTTACAAGTAGCCTAACACACTGCAGTAATTAAACCTAATGAGCCTTGATAAGATAATGCCATCTTTTTTAGGACATGATTTGAAATTGCCTGTACCTCTAAAAGAATTTTTTACATGCTGATTTTTTTATTTTTTATTTTTTTTGGGGAGGGGGGCGGTGGCGGGGTCATTTTAGATTAACCTGGGGACAGATTGAAAAGGTGAAATTGAAAATGAATCTGATGGCATGACGGTTTGCCTTTTTTTTTAACTGTGCATGAACGTTAAACCCTCTTTCGAAATGTGGTTCCTCCTCAGGACCCAAACTTTCAAAATCGTACTTTGCAAATGTGTATTACCATCAGGAACACAACCGCCCTTGATCTGCTTGAGTAGCCAAAAAGCTCTTTACCCCCCAAAAGTGCTGTCCTTTGTCTCTGATGGTGGCCCAATTAAAATTGCGCTGTTACCCATTTTGGGCCCTTCACCTAAGACTGCTCCAGTACGCACACATATACAGTATATTTGATTTCCACTTTAGCTTTTACGGTAACGCGCACCTCCCTGATCCATGCACTGTTGACCGTGAAACATCTTTTCGCTGTCTGCACCCCTTCCACACACGCGCACACACACATACATAGACTGATGTTTGTGCGATGACTGACTCCAAGAGGAAACTCAGGCTCACTCGAATTAACCCCACCCACCTTCAACATCTGTGTTTTTTCAGCTTGCTAATGTGGAAGTCCGCTCAGTGCCCTCAATCGGCAAACTCATATTTTTACAAATGCGTTTCAGTGTTTTCGTAGCCCAACGGCGACACATTGACGTGTGTAGCAGGAAGTAGACAGGTAAACTCTGGGGAACCGGACTCTAACCTCTGGCCCGGATTCACTGGAACCGTCTCAGGCTTGGATTCGGGTCACAATTGTTGTGCACCCTGTAGCAATCACGAGAACAATATTATGCATGTACTGAGGATTGTGAAGGCTGATGTGTGGCAAACTGCCCATAGATGACCTTACTTGTGAGATGAAATCTTGCTAGAATGAGATAAAATGTCGTATAAGACGTAATCGTTCATGATCATGAAGGGAACGTGCCTTCTGGGTGTTGCCCTTTGTTACTTGCTGATTTTTGCAATACTTTGTATTGCGCTTTCACAACAGCTGCAGCTGTAACAAAGTGCTTTACAGAACAGGTAGCATAAAATAACAAAATAATACAACACAACACATAAGACACAGACACTCATGCAATCTTCACGACTATTCCTGCATACGTTTTGTTGTTTGAA